TCGCAACACCGCGTGCAATTTTTGAAAGTGCCCAACGGGACGAAATTCACTAGCCAATTATTTAAATGCAACCACCGCTTGTATAGTCCTATTACGCGAGTAACTATATGCTGATTTGATTTTCCCTCATCCAATTTTGTAGTGTAACGGAATACAATTACGAGAAAAACAGATTCACGCCCACTCACCGTGGCCCGTTGACTGTGGGACAAAACAGGTTTGCATCTAGAAATATTTACTCGTATAGTGTAGAGTGGTTGGAGTAATCTTCTATTTCGGCCGAGAATTGACAAGACAGCAGAGGTTGCCGTTTGAGCTATTTTTGATAAAAAAGTGATAAAAAATGAATGCATGTCATTTCTTGTTCGCTTCGAAAGCTTTTTTTTTTTTTTTTTTTTTTTTCAATTATTCACAATCAATCTTGCAGTAAATTGTTTCAACTCGAAAAGTTTGAGAGTATTGACAAAGTCAGGTAAGTGTCAGATTTACAGCAATAGAATATATTTCTAGCTTATTGTAAAAAAATATATCATCGAAACGACAAAGAATTCCAAGTTGATTCTAATGACAATTGACATCGCTATTCTTACAGAATATTCAATCAAATGAAAAGCTTCTTCAGTCACGCAGTGGCATCATCCGTGACACATTATTTCGAATAAAAAAGTAACAAGACTTTGGGCAAAAATTAGTCAAATTCTCAATCCTCAAGTAGTCAGCCACACCCATCATACCTCTAGATTCTCATCGTCTTCTTTCCACTCGACAGATAAATCGGATCGACTTCAACCGAGCGATTAGCATGACAGAAGCCGGCAAAAGTATACGCACCCGATCCAGTACACACTGCGTTCAGTACGATGTATGTAGTATACACATGGGCTTCGAAGATAAAGTATTTCTCTCTCTCTACAGGGGAGCTGACCACAAATGGACAGGCTGAATAGGTGGACTGGCACTTTAGGGACGGAGACACGTGGAATACCCCGCATGCATACCGATATCTCTTGCTTTTGTGACCTGTACTACTGTGTGGGTACTGGGAAAAGGGACGATTCGGTAATCCGATTACCCATTGACCGAAGCTCGGTACTGTGGGTGCGATGACGATGACAACGTGCAATTTCTTACTGTTTCTTTCTCTGCACTTGGTTCTGATGAGGTGCGTATATTCATTTTAAGCCTTTGAGGAATCGTTTTGGTTCATTGATTTTTAATTATGTGTTTAATAATAACTCAGGGCTTTAAAATCTCTTTTACTCGTGTTATTGCAAACTTAGATTTTTATTTTGACGCATTAAAGATGTTATTATATTTTTTTGGTACATAAAATTAAAAGTTAAATACTACGATTACAAATCAAGGAAGTATTGTTAATGACATGAATTGTAAGCTATGTATTATTTATTGTTAATGAAAAAAAAAAAAAAAAATCAAAAAAACAAATATCTATGAATAAACATTGTCAATGAAAAAAACATCTTTCTCGTAAGATCTCAACTCTTAAATAAAATCAGAACTTGGATGAAAAAAAAAAAAAAAAAAATTAATCCCCTCAATTTCAAGAAGCCATAAAATCTAACAACAAATTCTCTCAGCACACCTGTATCCGTTTTTACTGCTTTCTCAGTTGCAATCGCCCCCTCCCATCCTTTCTTTGCCATCACACACACACACAACCTCTTAAGAAAAAAACCAAACAACCGTCTCGGGACTCGTGGGTGCGAGACTCTCCATCGATCGCGAAAAATTCATCCTTCCCTCTGTGTACACAAGCACGTACGTTTTTTCCCCTCTAATATCGCCCAAGTGGTCCCTTGAACCCCGAACCCATATAAACTTGCTGATACTGGAATTTTCGAGTGTGTACGTCCGATTTACATCGCGAGCGGGCGAAATTTCGCGCGTGGGTAAAATAAAAATGATGCTCGGGTGCGAGAGATTTCGTGGAGCACCTTCTTGGCTCAGCCTCTTCGCCGAAACATTTTTTGGGCAAGTTCTTTCCTAAAGCAGCTGGTGGGTGTTGACGAGTTAATAATTTTAATTTTAAGCTCATTAATAAAATAACAAAGACACATTGCTAAGCTGTTGGTCGACATACTCGTCGATTTTTGAAGAAAGAACTCATCAATTGGCTCACGAGTAATATTATTCAAGTGCTCTTTACTGAATGGTCATAATACATTGCATAGGACTAGAACACTAAAAAATACTAAATGCGTATCTTTGTATACCTGCCTAAATCCATGTCAAAGAGTCAAACTATACATTTTTAACAATGTAACGTAGAGTTTGCTATTTAATTACTCCATCGCCCATTCTCATTTTCATGGCTTGAAAAATTATTGAATTAATTAGTTCACTAAATGGATAATTCGATTTAATATTGGTAGTAAAACCATTTGTTGAACTCCAAAAGTTACATAGAAATGTAAAAAGTTTAATAAGTTAAAATTAACCACGAATATTTGTCTGAATTAATTAATGGACGTATCACTTTGTCGTCTGTATTTGCGAGTGCACTATCATGATTTAATTCCCGGTCAAACACACATTACAGAAGAAAATTACATCTCCACGCTCTGTTAATTAAATTCCGACGGTCCAACAGACACGCCGCATACCCAAATACTACATTTACGAAGGAACTGTATACGTAACGTTATATCAAAAGTAGCATCAAAATTTGATATAAACACAGATTTGAAAAATGTCAGGTGCATAATATTGGTTTTTCGCAGATGAAACATGTAAAGGTACGAACAGGTGCCACGCCCATTTAGAGCCGCGAGGTGATATGAAGCCCTTACCCCGTTCCATTTTGTTATTTACCCACATAAAGTGTGGAATGAAAGAGACACTTTTATCAACTCAAAATTTGTAATCGACTACTTGGGAACGAGAAAAGAGCTGCGTGTTACCGAGAGATTTCGTGCAAAGATGATAATGGCGAACAAAGGGATGTCGGAGCGCGCACAAGTGATGGTGAACATGAGATAAATTTTAGTTACTCGTAGGCAAGTTACGAAAGTTACACTAATCCCATAAAAAAGGCACGTGTCGAGAGTACCTTATGTGAGGTATATGGTATTATTATCAGATAAGTAAAGAAGATTGGCGTATGTCCATTGTTTGGGAAAAAAATTGGGCCTTCCTAAAGGTAAAAGTTTAGTTAAATGTGATTTAAAGCTGTTGAATTTATGTATCGATTGCCCATCACTCTTACCACCATGGATTCCTTCAAAAGTTGGTATGTTGCTTTTATTTAAAATACAAGGGATACTCTAATTTTTAAGCATCAAGTACCATTTAGTCGGTTTAATCGATGTAAAAAATTATCATGTTTTTTCCCATGGTATCGACACAATAGAAAAAGTCACTTAATATCACTCACATAAAAAAAATTTCTTACAATGGAAGCCCATGTCCTTACTTTCCTTCAAAACACAAGTAATTTTTTCCTCCTCATTGCTCTATTCACAACAAAAATATGATTTAACACACGGCATGAACACATTACTCAAAAAATGTTACCTAAAGCCACGCTCGTAATAACATTCATCCGTTTTAAGCTACCAAAAGGTTTTCGTTCTCTGAAAAGCTACGTATAGTGTAAAACTTTGAAAATGAAGACCAAAAGGTAAAGCAAACTAAAAAAAAAAAAAAAAAATTATGACGAGTACGGCTCGTAGGGCCCTTGTAAAATGTTCCCTTTCCCACGCGTGCACTCGTCTTTCAAAAGTAGTGCAAGCGATATAAAAGGAAACCAGTTTTATTTGCCGCGTAAAATGTAAGGGACTACATACTCCACTTAGCCATTCGCTTCTGCCATTTATTTTCTACTCCAAAGATGCATCCTCATTCTACTTTCTACAAGAGAGAAAAAAAAAACGAGTGCCAGCTCGAAGCGTCGACTGTCACCTATACGCAAAAGGTCGAAGGAAGACAGTACACGGTAGAAGAATGCCAATGGGGTGCGCCGAACCGAAATATTTTATGCTCCGCATCTCTTACCCCCTCGTGTGGAGCATAGCCCCGCGCCCCCCAATGAAATATGGAGCCAGCCATTTTTCCCTGCCACTCCCTTCCACCCCCCTCCGCTTCGAATACTCGCATGCGTGAAATTCTCGCGCTCGCTGCTCTGCTATTGCAAGCTCGGATGCAGTTTCGCGTCCCCCGAACGCGTTCTTTTTTTTTTTTTTTTTAATTTTATTTTTTCCTTTTATTTAGTTCCACCACAAACCGTGAATGGTAAAACGTATGGTGGCATCCTCTTTTTTTTTTACGACTGTTGGCTGCGTTATTACTGTATACACGGGGTGTTTTTGTGTACCAAGTAAACCCCGACACGCACGTCCCGAAAAATAGATTCGAAATCGAATGAGCAGAGCGGACGAGAAAGTTGTTCGCGGAACTTTTGCGGGCAGCAACGCGGAATGTGGAAAAAGCTCGCATGCACAGGGTGAACGAAAGCCGAGAAAAGCCACGCGGGTCACGTATGGCTGTCGAATCTTTTCCCTTTCTTTCTTTGAGTTTCTGCGTGTCTTCTCTTATTCCTTGCTTTTGACACGGGTATTTTGTCATAAGTCAGTGCTTTTGAGGTCCAAGGACTTTTGCGGATTAGGCAGCAGTACGAGGAACGCGACGATGGGATTACGAGAGTATCGGGTAAAAATGGCCTCAAACGAGATGGGGAAGAGAGAGGAGAGGGTGCGAAGTATAAGTTCTTGTAATAGGTAGTGTACTCCAATCGTTTTAATTTATAAGTGGTCCTGTTTTTTTGTGAGATATACTTGGTGACCATGAGTTGGTGTCAACTATGAGAGACCCTTCATGATTTTACAACAGGCTAACTGCAGTTGAAAATTTTTCTCAAAAGTTTTTAGAAAAAAACAATAGCTCAACTACCACGTGGAAAAGAAAATTGGTAGGATAAAAAGTCTTCCCTGGATTGTCAATGCCCGTGACGAAAAAAAGAAAAAAAAATTCGTTTCACTTACCCGTACTTGGCGAAGTTCGAGTAGGACTTGATCATCTTGAGCGCGAGCTCGCGCTCGTTCTCCTTGTACGTGAGACTGTCGTTGAGCGGGTGCCCGAACACGTACTCTATCTCATCACCGTGCATCACGCCCATCCAGTCTCCCCACAGGTTCGTGCTCGATTTCTGCAACAAAAAGGACGACCCTCGATTTTTACCATAGTCACAAAATTGGGTATCAAAATTCATGCAGATATACATATTGATTGATTTTACGTGTGGCCTCGCGTCGATAATTAAGCACTAAATTTAACCTACACACGGGCTTTTAGCTTCGTGGTACGGCTCGAGGCTTATTAATGGATAGCTAAGGGCTCTTTCGAGGCAAGTTTACGAGCGATTGATGATGTTCGAGATGGTTTATAGTGGGGCATGCATACGAGCTAGTTTCGCTGGGAGTTGGCTATTATTGGCTTATCGGCAAACAGTGCTCGGCTCCTTTTTGTTCCCTCTCGCTCGGGCAGGACTTGATTATTTAGCCAAAGCGCCCTGATGATTACCGAATGAGGCACAAGTTTTGGCGCACGCGTATACGTAATACTTAAAGAGCCGACTTGGGATTATCTACCTGGAATACCTAACGTGCTGAATTTTGGCTTGGTCTACCTACTTAGTGGTCCTCGTTTTGTTGCGTGGTAAAACCAAGGGCGTGTTTTCGGGGGATTTAATTTTATTCCGCAAAAATTGCGTCCAAACGGCTTGGCTGCTGCTTCAAATAAAAATTTCGGTGGCAGACTTTGCTATCAATCTTCCACACGAAAGATCTCAGCTCAAAAAAATACACCCCTATCCATACCGAAATCGTCGGTCTTATCCATACAAACCCAACGGGAAATTTGCAATTCAAAAATCGTTGAATCAAATCATCGTCTTCCCACGCGATCCCCATAAAAATCCAGACGACGGAAAATTGAAAAACACAGTACATACATCACGCGTCCTGCACGGTTAAGAAATTCAATTCCAGACAGAGAGCAGAGTGCGGCAAATACATCCATCACTTTCCAGCGGGGCGTTGACACGAAATAAATGTCTTTCCCTCCCCCCCTGCCCTGATGCTCACTTGCCATGTATATGTATACACACATATCCACAATTATTAATTCAAGAGCAGAGACTGGCGTCACAACTACTTCCCTATCATGAATCTCAATTATACAAGCCAACGCTTCCTCTTCGAGGGCACACGCCGGGGAATCCCCTGGTCTCTCTTTACCTCCGAATCCAATGCTCATTTGGTGATGCAGAGGCGCAGGTTTGATAGGAGATCGTTTTGCATCTCACGTGTCTATATTGTCGGGCAATATTCGCGGAAGGAATTACCACCCTAGAAGAATTTGCAATAAATTCGTACCAAAATGGATCACAATGGATGCAAACACACGTATTCCCTGGCACCCCGTTCCTGTGTTCACCGTATACCCTACGCCAAACAAGAGGCATACGAGGAAGCGCGAAAGTGAAAGATAGCTCGCCACGGGTGGTCGGACATTAAAAGGGTGAGCAGAGCCGCCGAGGACTTTACGATCTCAGCCTTGTGTGCGTGGGAATGCGAGTCACTGCTCGGGTTATCGCTCGATCGCAGAGAGGGTAAGTTACTGTACTCCTTGGCAAGGACAGGGGGGAGCCTTTCGAGGTCGGACGATAAAGATGGAAGATATATTATGTACTCGCTCGCTGTTCGTTTTACGGCTCACAGCTTGTGCACTCTCGATGGAAATCTCAGCCAACATCTGAAGGTATGTTACTGGGCTCGTCCTTGCTTGTTGATACCAACTAACGGAGGATCGAGGATTTTACAATACCGAAATTGGTCCGGTTGGAATCCTATAGGAGCGTATGTAAGAGAGGGAGCTGATCTACTCAACTTCCTTTGGAGTAGACATTTGAGGGTGCAATAAAAAAAAAAAAGTTTTATTACTTCCTACAACTTGGTGTAAGATATGGGGGATCTCTGTTGGTTTACAATCTTTTTTTCTTTTTACTTTTACAACCGGATACATAATACTTGATGAACGTCAGAGAGATGAGATACCGTACCGTGGCATCGTTGGCGAGGAGCTTAAAAAATGTTTCCAATATGGGGAAGAGTCGCCATAAAAGCAAAGGACCGAACAACAGCTCAAGATTCATGCCACCCCCTGAAAAGAAAACTCATCCACAAAAAAGCCAAGAGATGCAAAATATTACATCTCTTTCCATGCGTACGGTGGCCCTACTTTTCCACGACGCAAGAGATAAGTACGAAACAAACAAAAGCCGAGGAAACTTTTTTCCTCCTCTGCGCCTGTCTACATGCAGCCCTCAAAAGGTATACACGACGTTTCACGTAAAAACCAAATGTACCGTGTAGTGACTGTGTGTAATGTGTGTACAAAGAACGACGGGAAATGTTATTAAACGCGGACAAAAAAAAAAAAAAAAAGGTGGAATAAAATAAAAAAGCGGAAAACTTCTCGGGCGTGCGCTCGTAACGAGCTTAGCCTGTTAATTTTCATAAGCTTTGGCGCTCGGTAAAAGAGAGGCTAAAAGGACGACTCTCCGTCTGTCGGTGTGTGCGTGCGTAGTACTGTATATATAATTAGGGAAGCGCGGGTTTGCTTTTTTTTTTCTCTTATTTAATTTTCGCGCCGCACTCGCGTCTTATCCGTACGGGCAGCTTCTTTGCGAGTAGCCCAAAGAGAGGAAGGAAAGAAAAAAAAGCAAATGGCCCTTTCGCACCTGCCGACGGTCGAAGAAAAGCAGAAGAAACGGAGGGATGAAAAAGAGACTCCGGACGCGCGCGAGAGCGCTTCATTCGTGAGTAACGAGTATGCAAATGAAAGACTAATGGCCGGGGCTGCCGTTTGAGTTTGCTCGCTTTTCTCCTTCCTCAGTGGGTGAGCGCCCGGAAGTCGCAAGCTGCTGTTGGCCTTTTCCGCGCTTCGCTCCTCGGCTTTTTTCCCGTCAACACCTCCGTCGTGGCCGTTAGTTTTTCGTTGCTGCCGCCTTTGGATGTATCTTGGACTTGTGGTACTGTTTTCGTTTCCAAGGTAATAAGATTTGAGGAATTTTCTTTTTTTTTTTTTTTTTTTTTTTTTTTTTTTTTTTTTTTTTTTTTTTTTTTTTTTTTT